AATAAAAGTCTTTTGGTTTGCTTGATCTGTGGAACAAAATCTTTGGGTTCCATAAGCAAAAAAAAAAAATTAACTCAATAATGAACTTTTCTATAACTTTTTTTAAACAAAGAAAAAAAAACTAAAAATTTGTAGTGAAAATTTGTGCAAGTTTTAAAACTAAAATTTAAACTAAAGCAAGTTATATATATATACGATCGGATGGTCTCTATGTAATAAAATAAAACAAACTATGAAGCAAAACTTTAAACTTAAACAAAATTTAAATTTAAAAAAATGAATACAAAAAACACGAATTTTTCTATCTAAAAAACAAAAATATGAAAAAACACTTGAGCCAAGAGATTTTGTGTTAAGCTTCGCAACGATCTGGCAACTCTGGCGCATGCATTTCCATTGCAAATGTTGCAAAAAAGTTAACAAAAGGAAGAAATTGAATAAACCATTTGACAAACAAATTTGTAGCTAATTTGCCTAACAAAACAAAAGTAAAAAACAACAAGAAACAAAAACAAAAATAAAGAAGAAAGCAACAAGAACAAGCAAAACAAGAACTAACAAAAAGCAAATGTCTTAAATATTTATAAATTCTGTTTTTGCAGTGGCAAACGTTAAATATTACAATATTTGCAGGCATATATATACACATACACACATATATATATATGTATATATGACGTATATATATATATGTATATGTAAACATCATGTATGCTAAACAGAAACTTCTTTAAAAAAAAATACACAAACATTTTAAAAACCTCGAAACAACAAAAACAATTGTGTTTTCTCTTTTTTTGGTATTTTTTCGGATTATTTTTTATTTTTGGCATTTTTTCGAAAAACCTTTTGGGATTGGCTTTTACAGACAACACAAAACAATTGAAAACATTTCTCACATACAACGTCTTCTTCCAATTAACGGCCGACAAGCTCGCAGAAAATAAATTTCCCCGCGCGCTGGATGAGGAACCGAGAGGAATCGCATTCTATCCATGAATTTAGAAACCAAACTAAAACTAAAACAACAAAATAAGATTTAAAAATAAAACTCAACAACCACCTATAAAAATGTTTTCAGTGTAACGTTGCAAGAAATAAATCAAATATATATATATATATAAATAAAATAAAAACATATTTTGAATGTCTAAATATATGCGTCTAATATTATTAAAATACAATTAACCATATGTACCTATACCAAAAGCTTGAACAGCCCTCGTAATAACACAATATATAGTATTATGCACTACAACAAAATACTGTTTCAAAAACAACTTCTTAAAAACTTGATTCGAAAACGCTTTTCGAAATTTTCCAAAAAATATTTTTCGATTGTTGTACATAGAGAAAAACATTTGTGTCTAACCGTAATCGATAATCGATATATATCTGACATATATACATATATATATATACACTCCTGGTTCAGATATTGATGTTGTGCATAGTTTTATAAAAATTTCGTCAACATTTCTATGTGTGCAAAATATTTAAAGAAAACCATCAAATATAATTGAAATGAAAAGCAATTGTAGGCCTTTAAAAGCAAAATTATATATGAAACCGAACAGATATAAACATATATACATATATAAATATAGTCCAGCAGAATTATATAATTCTAGAAATTTATTTTAATTCAATTTATTCTCTTTACGTATATTTATTTGTTTAGCCTGTTCCATCTGAACGTTTCGTAAAAGTCATAAACGTTTCAATTCCGCACGTTCCACCATTTAGATTTGGTGTTTAGAATCACGCGCGAAATTGTTATATTTTTCACGTTTTCGAAATCGAATTCGATATTAGTTTCCGATAGCAAAATACAAACTGTGTGTGTGTGTATGTGAGTGAGACAGTGTGAGTGTGCGTGTACTTGCGATAGAGTGCGTGCGTGTATTTAATTAACAAACCTTGAAAAGAAAGCTACAAAAATTTTGCAAAAATTTTAAGAAAGTTTCAAAGACTTTAAATAAATTTGGGGAACAGCTAAAACGAAAGTTTTGTTTTTTAAGTAAAAATATTTTAAGACTACTTAAGACTTAAGCAGAGTTGAAATAGTCTTAGTTTAAATATTTATACATGTTCATTGCTTAGATTTAAATTAAGATTAATTTAAGTACATTTTGGTTGAGCCGAGACGTAGGTAAAATATTTTCAACTAAGTTCAGTCTGAAAGTAGGCAACATAATTTTGATTGTAAATTTTTGCCTTGTCATAGTCCAAAACTTCGCACATATATCTATATATATCTGGATATTAATTGCCAGCTTGTTGCATAACACACACTTCCAAACACACCTACACACACACACTTGAAAATTTCTGGGTTTTTGCAACATTTTGTGGACTGCGAAATTGTTTGAATTTTCTTCAAACAGCTACAACAACAACAACGGCATCGAATTTTAAGAAGAAAAAAAAAACATATATATATAAATTGAAAATAAAAATGAAGGAAACACAGCGCATAAGCTGTTTATTTTAAGCATATACCGATTATAAAGATCCTAAATGTTGAGCAAATATATATAAAACGAGTATATGGATATATATATTTAGTCTACAAAACAAAACCAAAAATAAAATTGCTTTAGACAGCACTTGACAACACTGGAAACACACACACACAGTAACACATACACACACGTATATAGTAATCAAAATTGTTGGCAAGACGAAAGTAAAATCAGAAAATAGAATGAAGAGAAAAATAAAAACAATACAAATCCCTAAACAACTGAACTTATGTAAACTGTAACTTCTAAGCGCTGTAAACGACAAGTCTTAACAAATTTCAGAAACAATATAAAAAAAAAAAAAAAGAACAAAAGACAACCTTTTCTTTTGTAATTACTAAAAAATTTTCAAAAAACCGAAACTAGCTGAATACTATTTATACCACATTGTAACAGCAGGTAAATAGAACAGTTTTTCATTATATCAAGTATTAAGGTGCATACCGAATTAAACAACAAAAACAAATCAGTTTTGCGTCAACGTAAACGAAATCAAATTCATAAAAACAACAAAAAATATGAAAGAAAAAATCTGAAAACAGATAAATAACAATTTTAATAACAATTCTATTCTATTTAACAGGCAAATGAAAAACCAATAAAAACAGAATATACAAATAAAAGTCTTATGTTTTTGATTTTTCGATCTGAGCGGAACTAGTTCCAGCTCCAACGTAAGTATTTAAATAGTCATGTTGCACAGTGCGTATGCGTAATATTATTAGCGCCATCTAGGGCTCAGCATATACAGGCAGCTACGACAAAAAATTAGCATGGGAATTCTGGCGCCACCTATGTTTGAATCTCTGCAAATTACGTTCGCAGCACTATTAGGAGCTCCTTAAAAGGACTAGTACACAGTAGTAGATGGCGCTAGTAAGTTGGGAAATATAAACTATTGTATATTGCTATGTAGCCTATATATATGACCTGTTTATATAATAAAACTGCATTTACATACATATGTATATATATTTATTCTTTTAAGTTCAATTCGAGTGTTTTAAAAAGCTCACCAGGCAGCTGCTAGTCTCTGCAGGCTTTACACTCACTAAAGAGCTCAAGCGCAGCTTTTACAACTGCTAAATAAACTCACTCATACAAATGGCGTTTAATGAATGAATTAAGCACAAACAATGAACAGCAGCTGACAGCTTTTACACAGCAGCTAAAGAAAAGCAAAACAAAAACAAAGCCAAAGCTCGCTCAATGCAGTTGTGCAGCGTCTTCTCGGATGCCATGTGTTGAGTAAATAGAGAGAGCGGGTAGGGAGATGTTAGAGCCGACAAGGCGGTGTGTGGGAGAGCACTAGACGAATGTGAGAGCAGAGCAACGAGCAAGTCAGGGTAGCCAAGGCTAACAAGTGCAGCTCTATATTATTCTATTTCGATGTTAATAAAACAAAAATGTTTTAAGCTTTAGAAAAATGTATAAGAGTATATATAAATGAGTGTAACCATAAAATTTATTTTATTATAAAAAATGTTTAAATTTGTAGTTGGGATATTTTTACTAGTTTAAGTTTTGCATTGGCAACCCTGTAGCAGCATTGTTTATGCCTTGCTTGCCTTTGTATGTGTTTGACTGCGAGACGAGAGGCTGACGTCGACTGCGACGTCGGCTGATGTTTCTGCTGCTCCGGCTGCTGCTTCCACGGAGTGAGCTCAGTTGCTGGTAGGACTTTGACAGTGCAAGTCGACAGTTGCAGGCGCGCGCGTCTCGAGTTTGTTGTTAGTTTTTATGTGTTGTTGTTGCTCGTGGCTGTGCTGCTGCTCCTGCTGCTGCCGTTCTCCCTGCAGTTAAAGTAACAAGCGCGAGCGTGTCCTTGCCGGTTGTGTTCTTCACTTCCTCTGCCGCTTCTACCACTTCAATTGAAGCGATTCCCCAAAGTGTGTGCATTGCCAATGCAGCCATAAAAGCGCCAGTTTGCATATTGGCTTATTGGCATGCTCCTGGCTGTCCGGAAAACGGCCGCGTCGCGAATGCTGCTGCAGGCATAAGTTGTTGACCAGCTGCCGCCGGAATGGCCAGCGAACGTTTAGCCAGTGGCGGGCGTCACGCACGCGTCAGCCCGACGCCGGGACGTGGCAGCAAAATCGCGTATACGCCGTGTCCGCGCTCCGAGCCGCCACAGGATCTGGAGCTGGCTGCCACGGCCCGCAATTGTCTGGCCATACCAATGTCCTCGCTGCAGACTGCAAACGGACCCAATAGCAAAGGTAAGTGCGGCTAATTAGTGTGCAGATTGCAGTGTGATATATGATTTTGGTATACTCTTTAATAATGGAGCTTTTGGTAAGGGGTATATTAGCTCTGCAGCTGGTTTGCGTTTTATATTGAAATTTCGTTAAATAAGTACCATGCAAGGGTGTTGTATACCTTCTACTTATTTTGAAAAGGGTATATTGTGCTGTAGCTATTTTTGTCAAGTCAGAATATACAATATATATGTATGTGAATATGCATCATTATAGAAATTCATATTTCTACAACCTGAATCTTTTTATAGAGCATATCTCGATCACACTCCGTCTCGCTTTCGCTATATGTCTTGACATGCGATTGTTTTGTCTATTTGTTCTTCTCATAAATCAGCTAAAAAGGGCCGCCGCAGCCGCCTGCATTTGCGCCTGGCAATCAGACTTACAGATATTTGCTATAGATAATGTTGTTGTTTTTGTTCTGTTTTGTCTTGCTGTTTTATTTTCACATTTGCCTTGACATGTTTCGTGCGCTGTTTGATGAGTTTTCGCCCTCTTCCTCTCTCCCGCTCGCCTTTCATCTTTACATACATATCTTCATCTGTATTTTGGCTTCCGTTTGCTCTTTTCAAGTGGCAATTTGCATGCGAATTTAACAGCTGCCGATGCCGATGCCTCCGCCTCTGCCGCTGCCGCAGCCAACACGTGACTTTGATGGCGAATTCATTGTCAATGTGAAATACAAATCGCAAATCAATTCAATGTCTGCCAAGGTGCAGCAAGAGACGAAGATAGCGGGAGAGAGTAGACAGAGAGAGACAATGGCAAGAAATGCTATCAACATAATCCAATTACAAGCGTAGGTGAGTGAGTGAGATAGAGCGTGACCGAATGTAACAGAGATATTTTTTCTTGCTTGCCAGCGATCGGCATAAACTCTTATAATTATGCTTTCGGAGAAATTCCCTCGTTTTTATGACACCGAAATGTCCCGTATAGGACTTCTGCTGTATAATTGCCTCAAACAAACAATTTTACTCTTATTGAATATTTGGATTTAATAGGTTGAGTTTTATGGCATAAAACATTTGCTTCGACATTTATTATGATTTTATGGTATATTTTATTGCTGTAACATGTCCCTATCTTGCTAATAAAAATGAATGTCAGGAAAACAAAGGGAAGTACTGCCTGTAAGGAAATATTGCTTTCCTTATGCTTGAGTAAATGCCGGAAAGTCGTATAAGAATTTGATGATATCCCAAAATGATTGGCGTGAAAAAATGGATTTTTAGATTTTTCTTTTTGTTAATTTTTTTAGGAAGAATTTGTAAAATTAAATCTAAAGGATAATAGAAATTGCTGCATTTATATGTTTATTCCATATATAGGAATATTTTAAAGTACATGCAGAATAAGTTGACATTATATAATGTATACTAATACGGGAAGAATTGAAATCGATAATACTAAAGATATGTATTACCCAAACAGAAAGAGACAGTCCACGCACAGTATAGGCATATCACGCATAAATTAACACAAATTGAGTTAATTAATTACCCAACATTAAACAGATATATGTATGAATACCAAAACAGGAAGTTCCACTCATAGCCTACGCTTCTAGGACTTTAATTATACAAAAATTGTGTTGACTAATTGCCCACTGTTCAGCCATTTCATTTTATTTGCGGTCGGCTGTTGGCCACTGTTAACAAATTGTGGCATAAATGGCCGACTGCTCATCATTCGTAATTAGCCATGTTTTATGTGACGCCAACAGATACAAATTATGATTTTTGAAATTTATGGCTGCAGCAGCAGCAACGGCGGCGGCACCAGCTGCTGTTGACCCACAAAACTAATAATAATGAAAGAGAAAACGGACCCTAGACTGGGCCAAGCTGCAATAGTGACCCACTGATCGAAGGAGCAAATCACAAAGCGTGTGGCAAGCAATTTAAGCAGCTGCCTAATTAATATTCATGCAACACACACACAGACACACATAAACATCGAGGCAAAAATGTCAATAAAGTGGGCGGCGTTTGCCACCCGCTGAGCTAAGCTGCAGCTAGCAACGCGCAACGTGCAACGTGCAACATGCAGCGCGCCACGCGGCGTATAATTTATGCAGCTGCCTTTGATGCTGTTGCATATGCATGAAAGTAAAGAGAAAGTAAGGAATGCAAACGCGCAAAAAAGCGAGAATAACTTTGCCTATTTTTCAATTTTTTCGTTTTCTTTTTTCTGCTGAGTTCATCTTCTTAAGCGGCTTTCGGTTAGGTAATTTGTATGATGCCAACATTTTGGGTTTTCTTTTTTAACAACAGCTGTTAGGCTAATGAAACTGCCATTAAAATGTAGATGACTAACTCTTTTATGGACAGTTATTGTATATATTGTTTATACTTGTTAGATATTTGCGAGAGAACAAGGGATATGAATAAGCATATTGGGTCAACAGCTGCTTCCTACATTATTTTTCATATGTATATTTGTTGCTTATGTTAGAGACTGTTAAGCCTGATAGACTGTTAGACTGTTAAGTCCTTAACAGATGATTTATATATGTATATGCTCACTATGTTAATCATACTGAATATGAACATTAACATCTAAACATTTGCTAGCTAAAAATGATTGATGCAATTTAACACCATTTAATTAACATGTTACATCATTCTGTTAATATATTGTGATCAGATATTACTATAGCTCTTTAGCTAGATATAATTATAAATTTATTATTTATCAAAATTCATTTACCATGTCATAATCCTTATTCTACAAATAATTGAAATAATACGTTAATTGATATTTTAACATTATTCTCACATAAAATGCACTCAATTCAATATATGCTTATTTACGCTGACTTTTGCCCTTAGAGGCCATCCAAAGTGACATTAAATGGGAGAGCCAAATAGCAACAGTCACAAGTTGCAATTGTTTTTGCTCCCTTCTCACTGAATTTCCTCTCTGTTTTGGGTATCACTGTAACCTTTGCTGGCGTTCGGCCAAAATGCTTAAATTATAGTGCGGGCAGCCATTGATAAGTAGCCCGGCAACATGGCAGCTCACTTCATTTATCACAATTTATGGCTGTGCGGACATGCCAATTGGAAGCTGCAGGTGTCTTTTTTTGCACACTATTATTCTTCTTCTTCTTCATCATCAGCTGCCTGTTCTGACTATCTGGCAACTTGGTCACTTTGTTTCGCTTTGCTGCATCAGTGGGTAATTTGCTTTGGCTTGCACTTGGCCTTGAAAGCGCCGCAGGCAATTGATTTGACGCGCTGCCAAAGATTGTC